CCCCCCTTGGAGTCACCAGGAACAATGGCCACAAGCTGAGGGAGGATAGGTTTAGGTTAGGTATTAGGAAGAACTACTTCACTGTAAGGGTGGCCAGAGCCTGGAATAGGCTTCCCAGAGAGGTGGTGCTCTCACCTTCCCTGGGGATCTTCAAGAGGAGACTGGATAGGCACCTGGCTGGGGTTTTATGACCCCTCCCACCCCCAGTGCTCCTTCCTGCCCATGGCAGGGGGTCAGACTAGATGATCTGTCTAGGTCCCTTCCCACTCATTGATTCTATGATTCTATGACTTGGCTCAACATGCTGTGGTCCCCAGCACACATTCAAATGCGGCACCTGGGAGCAATAAATTCTGGCACAATATGTGCCAGAGTTTACTGCTCCACTCTAATTGCATATGTAGACACACACAGGAAGATCAAGGCTGTACCTATAGCTTGATTGGACTGACTTTCTCTGTGTAATAACCTACTTATTAGAATTCTGAATGCAGCATGAGTAGCAACATGGTTTCTGGTTAGTATCTGGGGGTATAGCAGGGGTGGATCCAGAAGGGGTGCAGTGGCCCAGACACACCCTGCTTTCTGTCAACACTATAGGAGCAGCAACTGGGGACTTCTTAACTCCCTGTAAGAAGTAATAACTGCCTTCCTTTTTTGCCACTCCATGGCATGTCTCCTGGCCTCCCATTCCTCCCCCATCACCCACCTGCTGCTGTCCCCACTGACCCAGGGGCAGAAGGCCTCCATGGCCACTCCTGCCTTGCTCCAGCTGGGCTCTGCAGTGAGCTGGGCTTAGCAAGGGACAGTAGCAGCAGTGGGTGGGTACCTTCTCTCTGCCCACTCCTCCAGGGGTCCTCTGCCAGCCCAGAGTGCCACTGCTGTCTTTGACTGATTCTGGCTCCCTGTGCAGCCTGGCTGGATCAAAGCTCTGGAGCCTTCCCACCTCCCCTCCCTGCCTCTCCCCAGCAAGGCAGCTGGGGACAGAGGCAGCAATAGGCAGAGGATCAGCAAATGGAGAGGAGGGTATGTTATTAAGGATGGAGAAAATGGGAGAGGGGACAAAGAATGGGGATGGAAGATTCTTACCTGATTGGGGGATTTTAAAAAGTTCCCTGCTGCTGCTCCCTCTAGAGAGACTGCTTGTCCTGTGGGTAGCTGGGCACGGAGGGGTCAGCTACATTTGTGGCACTGGCGGGTGCTCCTGTACCCTGCCTTTCACAAAATCCTGGATCTGCCCATGGGGCATAGTACTTGTCTTTTGTCCCCTTGGCTGTGAGATTGTTTTCCTACAAACATTTAGAAGCTGGTAGAAAATTTTCCCTTGATACTTTGATTTGATGGAAAGTGGCTTTGTTGACAAAATGGAGATTTTCATTTAAAAATGTCAATTGTGTTTAAAAGTAAGTTTTCATTAAAATAATTCACCAGTGGAAAGCTTTCTGGTTTTTAGAAATTGGACTTATATTGCACAAAATCAACCTCCCCTGCCTAAAATTTTCATTTTTGTCTGTCTTTTTAAGAAGGAAAATATCACATCTTGACCAGCTCTGCCTGCTAGTTCTTCAGTGACTGGGGGCATCCTGTTTTTTTATTTTGGCATTGCTGTCTACTCCTTCCCAGCCATGCAGTGGGCACCTGAAGGCTGTCTGCATGTTGTTTACATAGCTCCTCTTGTGCACACCATTGGTGGCAATGTTTTACTGTGCAGGCATTCTTGCAAAGGAGGAGATAATTTTGGCTTGTAGACTGCAGAAGGGAAGGAAGGGGGCTATACAAACAGTGAAGGTATGTGGCCTGAGGTGGTTACTGGATGTTCTTCAGGTGGAAGAATGGGAGCTTTGTGAGAGAGGAGGAGGAGGAGGGTGTGAACCAGAAGCTGACGCAGAAACCAACCGAATGAAAACACCACATAGACTGCCAAGGCCTTTTGCATAAAGAATGTGAAGCGTGAGGCCTGGATCAGAGACAGCCAGCTCTTTTGAGATGTGGCGGGGGTTTAGGGGAGAGTTGAACAGTGGATCTCAGGCACAGGCTGGAATCCTGGCAAAGCATCCTTGCCAAGGCATAAGCTGCTAACAGCACTGCACACTCAAAATCACCTTCATTTTATTCCTTTCATGCAACCAGAAGCAACCAACTCCATCTAGTGAGGGAAATGGGCCGTTGTTCTCTTCCCCATGTGGCCTGCTTACGTTATTCCATTAGAATCAAAGGGTTATAATGGGTAGTAGGATGGGCAATAAACTCCAGGCACAGGGACAATGATGGTAAGGTGTGGCCATGCCATGTCTTTCTTGAAGCTCTCCTCAATTCTGGGGTAAGGTAATATGAGAGGTGGAATGGGCAAGGGGCACTCCAGACAGTCCAGGTCAGGGGGAGCAACCTAAAGTCACTATAGGTGACTAGTACCACAATGCTGCACCTCCTAAGAGACTAAATGAACTTGGGCCAGAGCCCTTGAAATAAATGATTCCTGAAAACATGCTTCCATCTCACGGGTATCTTTAGAAAGCTGGGACTGGGGGGAAGAGTGGAAGTGGGGTTCTATAGGGTGACACTATTGCAAATTATGATAATTTGGTAAGAGAACAGGTCTACAGCTGGAAACATGACTAGAGCACAAGAGTGCTCTGCTTCTCCTTGCCTCCTTTATTTCATCCTCTGATCACTGCAATCTGGCATAAATCAGCAAGATTCAGGCTGCTCTAATACAGCTGACACTGACTCAGCATGCAACATGAGAAAATACCCAATGAGTTTTCAGGCCCTCTCCTGACATGGACCCTGTTGCAGTATGGTAGCAATGCAGGACATGGTCCCTCAGAGGGAATTTTTTTCCTCTACAAATAACCATGAACTTTACTGAGAAAGCAGCACATCAGTATCCGTTACAGAGCAAGTGTTTCATAGAAGTATCATTAGCTTCTGGAACCCACCCAGTTTTGGGAGATAAAAACATACATAATGTTTTAAAAATATGGTTTTATTCATATGGCCAGCCCGTTAACAGTGGATTAACTGGCAAGAGTAATCACAGATATCTAGCAACTGAGCTAATCAGCTTCTCACTTATGTGAGGCTAGATTTGATCAGCATGGAACCATATGCAGAAGGATGCAGCATGTTACTGAACAAGCTTGGTCAGCTCCCTCCTCCTCAGTGTAGCCTTCCACCCGTGATGCAAGGACACCCAGCAAGGATCCTGCACAGTGTAATTACTGAATTTCAGAATCAAGATCTGAGAAGCTAGTTAAATGCCTCCCTTTCCCCAAATCAATTCATTTTAAAATACTGGATTTTAAAGGAGAAGAGAAAAACAGCTGGACTCTTGTCAGAAATACTGGGACTCAGCTGGTGTAAACTGGTGTAGTTTCAATGGTCTGAAATACTAGCAAGAGGATGTGGGCCTCCACAATCCTTTAACACCCCTATTTCCTTGCAAACCCATCTAACAGCAAGACATCAGCTCTGAGGACCTAAAGCAAGAGAGGCTTCCTGGGTATTTTTGTCTCCACTGTCCCAAATCTCTCTGGGCCTAATCCTATGAGATGCTGAGCGCCAGCAAATTCTACTGAAGGCAGAGGGATCAGGGAGTACAATGCAGTTCAAAGGACTGCACCTGTAAGTCAACAGCCTCTAGGAGGTAGCATCCAGGCTACCAAGGGCAGGGAGCTGCATCTTAAAGGGGATCTCTCCTCCATCACTGTTCACAAACTGCCAGAAACAAATGACTGCCAATCAGTTTAAAAAGTCTCCCATGTAAACTTATGGGGTAGGATTTATAAAGGGAGGCAATGTGAGTTAAGTATCCAACACCCATTCAGGTTCAGTAGGAGTTTAACACCTAACTCCTTTAGGCTTCTCTCACCCACTTCTACCCATCTCCAAGGGCATGAAACATTCATTCCAGCTTTGGCCATTCACCTTTGGCTGCATGGCTACATACAGGTGCTTGCTATTGTCAAGCACAGTGCATTATGGGCCAGAGGATCATTTCCCATCCCTCCTCTGTTCCCTTCTATTTCAGTCTTCCTTCAGGTTTTACCCCCTTGTTTGCTCGGGCTTAGGAGGCCTTTCGTGAGCCTTGGGGCTTGAAAAGGTTTTTACACAACTGATCAATGAAAAGGGACTCTGAGCATTTCAAGACAACACATACGATCAGACTGCATTTTAGAAGTACTTGGACACTATACTTTCTGAATTAGAAGATGAGAACTGAACAGTGTTATTTCTTAGGCTCTCCACGGTCAATGAAAAGCACTATAATCTGCCTCCTTTGAGAGAAGCATCAGCAACATGTATGTGACAAACAATCACTGCACACAAAATAAGCAAGATACCTTACAGGAGGATGTGAAATGCCTCTATATTGCACACACCCCTTCGATATCACAGCTAATCATCACAGTTGTAAAACATTAATAGGACAGTTATAATTCACTGGGTTTGGTTAAACACCTACCGTTTATCTGACTTATGAAAATGTAGTTTATAAATGCACAGTGATCCAGGGCATGGAGGGATGGACAGACAGACAGACAGGCTGACCATGTAATTTTCTAGAGAGTAACTGTCATGTTGCCCTCCTCAGAGCTGACCTAAGCATTTGCCAGCCCTAGGCCCTTCAGCTGGAGGAGGACTTAAAATAGGCATCCTTATCCCAGTGCTGTGGAGGTGCACAGGTGTCTGTTTCAATGTCCCTAGGGAATTCCAGAGCACTTTGAATGAACAGCCTGTAAGATGGTCAACAGGCCTCAGTTTCCATGTTACCATCACTGGAATTGGCGTGGTGTTCTGGTTACTTTTCTGGGGGCATCAGACATGGCTTGTCCTTATATCTTACCCATTTGTAAAGGACTTTTCTGTTTCTGTTGCCTGGGGGGGTGGAAAGAAAATGTATTAAAGCAACATTGAAAAACAAAACAGCAAAATATCGCACAAACCAAGTGAGCCAGTTTCCATCACAAAATACTGCATCACAAAACCCCACCCCCTCTGCAATGAGAGACTGCACACAAAATCTACTGCACAGTTCTGACACCAAAGCCTTGCAGTAGCCAAGAGGTAACTCAACTGAGCGAGAAAAAAAGTGGTAGATGTTCTCAGTACCTAAGGAAGTGTGTTTTATTTGCATGAATTGAATACACAGCTGTGAGGTTTCAACTTGTGTGCTTTTTATCAAAATGTGGGGATACAGTGGTCCTGTGTACATCTACCCCTGCAACTCTGCAGTGAGAGGCAGTAGGATGCATCACTTATGTTCTTTTCCTGTACACCCACAGGAATTTCTTTGGGGCAAACAGCACCTTTCCTTTTATCTGCCACTACTTACCACACATCCTTTCTTATGAAAGATGAACTCTACCTGCTTTTTGGGGATACAAGCAGATAGGATGCATTTCAACAGTGACCAATAGGAGAGGGATTCTATTTCTCTGAACCACCCAGTGAGAGAGGAGAGTACCGATAGTCTGAGAGTTATCATCATCAGGGTAGTAAGACACATGCACAGTCACTGTCTTTTATATCTCATTTCTATAGCTTTTAAAATAAAGCCTCATTTTGGCTGCATGCATTCTTAGCCAAAATATAAACCAGTGGCTCTCAACCTTTTAAGAGTTAAGGCAACCTTCAGAAAATGCCAGCTCTTAAGTTTTCACTTGCATTTCTGACAATAGAGAATAATAGAACAACTTTTCTGTTAAAAAGAACCCAGAAAGGCCACAACAGGTCAAAATCTTTGTAACACTATATTTATGGGTCTATCTTGTGAATCATGTTTGCATTCTTAATGCATACCTACCTTGTGACACTCTTGAAACGATCTAAAGGCACCCCAAGGTGACACTGCACCCTGGCTGAGAAGCACTGATATAAACCCACTATTACCCCTAGGGATATTGATCACAGATAGGGAAGCTTTTGAAAATTGAAGACATCTTTTGGAAAATAACACTTGAAGCAAAGAAGTGTGAACAACTTTGGCCCTATTCCAATTGAAGATCCCTTCAAGAGCTTTCTTCACCCCCAGACTTTTCTGCTTTCAAATTCTGAGTCACCTTTACCTACCAGGTGAAAAAGGAGTCCATCTGCCTCTGTAATGGCAGTAAGGTTTTAAAAGATTTACAGTTACAAGTTACAAAAGAGACAGAGTAGAAAAGCTCAAAGTGAATATAACAGAATATTGTGATGCTTTATAATCTTTTGACTGCATCAAAGGAAGTCACAATCTGACTAGTCACAAATTTCACACACAGACAAACAGCAAACAGTGCTATTATTTTCATTCTGTAGGTAGGCTGTTCATCCCTTCATTTAGGATAACCTAGGATGCATCTAGAATATCATTTTGTCACTCACACGGGGATGGGGATGTGAGGTTTAGATGAGAGATTAAGTTCATAGAATTAAGACTCAGTTCTAGAAGATGGTGAACATCACAGCTCCAATCCAGTGAAGCCCTTATGCCGGTGGTTCTCAACATTTTTAGAGTCCAGACACCCTTCCATAAGCCTTCTCTGAATTGAGCAGCACCCCATTTATTTATTACAGTGCTTACTTCCTCACAAAGGGGCTGGGCAGTTGGGGAAAAGGAAGGAGCACTTGGGCAGGGATGAGTGTGTTCTTGCCTCTGTGCACAGGAGATGAGTAGTGGGGGTGGGGGAGCAACCAGGGAAGGACAACCTGAACCTGTGCTTATCTTCTCATGCCTCCTATCACCCTTCAAACGATTCCACAGGTTGAAAATTACTGCCTTACAACCATACTTTAACATATGAACAATCCCATTCACTTCTTCTTATAAGTTTAAAGTGCATGTTTTTACACATTTTCCAACAGATTGTTGCATTTTCATATTATTCATAGTATTTCATATTTTTCTACTAAATAGAAACCTTGGAAAGCAACCTGCACCAGCCTCCAAACCAGCATGCTCCTCAGACTGGCACTGCTCATCAGTGACCCATATGGAAAGGAAGAGCAACAATGGGGTATGAAGAGAATGTGTTAGTGAGTCCTCTCTGCCTAGAATAATGGCTCCAGTACTGGCAAACTTTACAGTGGAGAATGACAAAAAGCAGAAAATCTCAGAGGTCCCAAGGCTGGCAGACAGCCCTTCCTTTTAGATGTGGGGAATGATGAAAATCAGCAGCGATGTGTTTTTAATTACTGAAGCACAATTAAAAACACATATTTGCAGTTCAAAAAAGAATCTATAAAAATGTAACAACCTAATCAAGTGTGCCACTTACTGGACCATCCTCAGGCTGCTGAAAATATAAACTGTAAGCCATTTATCCCAGAAGACTGGTCACCCTTATCTTAAATTTACCAGATTAGCATGGGTATCTGACCTTGGGAGCTTGCCTCCTGGGAATAATATGAGGACATTTTTATAGAGTTCCTTTCACTGAGTTCTCTTTCCCAGAGGCCCAGTCCTACAGGTTTTTCTGTGGGAGAGGAAAATCTTCTCCAAGGTTCTCAGGGTCTAGACAAATGACATTTATACTAGTGTAATTTATGCCACTGTTGTACACTAATATAAATTACCCCACGATCCAGAGTGGACAGATGAGCAGTCATCTGGGAGTAGCTGCTCACAGTAGCCACTATTACAGCTCTTTGCCACTTGGTGGTGTGATAAAATGTTAGCTAAAGATAAAGATGATAACCTGTTGCATCAACCAAACAGCTACTCAGGGATGCCATTGGACAGATGATACCTACTGCTGGAATTTAGTTGAGTGTAGTTTTACTCCCATTTTTCTGAAGTTAAATATACACCAACTGTATGGCACAGTTAAGTAGAGTTTGCATTATCTGTCTGCTCCTTGTTCATACCTGCTGGTAAAGGCTGGTTACACAGGTGTAAATAAGCTTTCTGTCCAAGTCCACTAATAGGGAACTTTAATTGTAGGCTCATAAGTGACTTGTTTATCTCCAAACTAGTCACAAGAGAAACTACTGGCTGCAAGCAACTCCCTGGAGTTTGAAGATTCAAAGGACCCATGTCAAACATCATGAAAGATGACAGAAAACTCCAAGAGACACAATACGTGAACTGACTAGGAATAGGCCTGTGTGAGTAGGCAGCTATTCGATCTGGCTTCAGATCCAGCTGCTTCGGATGCCAGTGATCTGATCCGGAGCACTGGATTGGTTTCCTGCTTCAATCCAGCCAAAACGGCTACGAAACTTCAGAGCTGCCTCGGAGATCCACCTACAAAACCACAGACTAAGGAGAGGAAATAATCAATACAGACAATCAACTGCCCCAAGGCAGACACAGTTGCACAAGCACCCATGTCATGAGTTTTGCTTGTCTGCAGCTTGAGGTGCAGTTCCCCCCAAACCTCTGCACCTATCTCCTTGAAACCTGGCAGGTTTCATGGCCTCAGCCAGGGCACCACCCCTGCAGTTTTCAGCCCACTGTGCCTTAACACACATGGGGTCATCTATGTCATGAGTTTTGCCTGTCAGCAGCTTGAGGTACAGTACCCCCCAAACCCCTGTACCAATCTTCTTGAAACTTGGCAGGTTTTATGCTGTCAGCAGAAGCTACCATCCCTGCGTGTTTCATCCAAAATGGACAAAAAACAACAAAGTTATAGATATTTCATTGATCCCCCCATTATATCCTGTGGCCGGATCTTCGAGGTGGCTCCAAAGCTTCGGCTGGATCGAGGTGGAAACCCAGTCTGAAGCTCCAGATCAGATCGTGGCCATCCGAAGCGGCCAGATCTGAAGCCAGATCAGATCGCTGCTGACTCACACAGGCCTACCACACACACTCTTCTTTCCACCCC